AGATGGCGACTCAATACCCTTTTTCTCCTTCAATCTATCAATCAAGTATAGGTAGTTCTCACTCAACTTTCTATCCGCGTTGCTCACATTCAACGTATTTCCTATTATATTAATTTCAATAGCCTCTTATCCTCTATTTGGCAGCAGGCGTGCCATATTCAGCAAGCTTATTCGTTTGAAATAATTCTAACTTATACCCAGCCTCCTCCATATGTTCAGTCATTTCTGACAGTTGGACCCAGCTGCCTTTACAAGCATTTTGGTATTCTCCTAATCTTTATCGAATAGGCCGTCATTGCTCACCATAATAAGGTCAATCATAGAAGAATACATTCCTGTAGCAGCCGGATCTCGATTATGGGTCACATTTCTCTCTAAAAGATGGCATAACAGAAGAAAATGTGATGGTCTGTGGAAACCAACCTACGAATCCCTTCCACTTGCCTCTTCACACGAAATGAAAGGTACTCCAACATAAATGTGAGGGTTTCTTTGAATACTATTTTTATCCCTACTTCACTAATTCGCCTATCTTCTTAGAAAGAAGTCATGACGACAGAATTAGGTCTCAGTCTGTCTATCTTTGACTAAATAGTCACCGTTCGAAAAGTTATTTCTCAGTAGAGCTATTATTAAAAATTAGGCCCAAAGGATAGTTATTTTCCAGGAATAAATCTGTCAGCCGTTCCAACTCTTTAGTCAAATGTTTGCAATCCGCTAGTCTCATTCTCATTATAATCAATGACTTCAAAATTCCAACCTTAATTTGTAGTTATAGTTGGATACAAAATTAAGAAGGACGAACACATGCTGGCTTCCTATAAACATCTCTGTCTAATTTACCCTCTTTTCTAATTATCATAGCATCTAAGTAATAAGGACCTATTCTCTTCCATTTCCATTATGAACCTAATGTTCCTTTCACGTTGATTAAGTAAAAGTAGGAAACTATCTAAACTACTTTTACCATGAGGCCAGATGACAAAATAGTCATCAATGTATATATCTAACTATTTAGGGGTTAGTATTGCCTGTTCCAAATATTGTTCCTCAAATAAGGACTAATTAATGGAACCTAAAAATTCCAGAGGTAGGCATGGTGTTGAACTTTTTTAAAATAATTAAATCGAAAATCATAGACTTAAGGTAATCAACAATCAGGCTCAGATTAACCCTTTCTACTAAACTTGCCTACAAAATGAAAGCCCGATTGAATAAAAATCACCTATTGTATAAAATCTAAGTGTCTCCCTGTGATAGGAGCTTGTGGATTAATTCATGAATGATCTTAATACTTAAGTTAGAAAAGTAGAAAATTGTGGTCAGAGACTAAAGCTTATCCAAGAGCTTAATTTACGCCTAATTTATATTATGAGATGTTCAACGAGATCAAAAAAAC